CACCCTTCTGGCTCCATGGACGGCATTAGAGCAGAGAGCGGCCGCAGCTCCCTCCCACCCCCCGCCAGGCACGCCTCCCGCACGCCCACCTGTCTGGCTACCTGCACGGCATTATAGCTGAGAGCTGCCGCAGCTCCCTCCTTCCCGCCCATCCGCACGCACAAGCGGACAGCTGCAGCCAGGTACATAAGACATCCCCCGAAAATAAGACCTAGTGTCTTTTTTCGTGGAAAAAAAATAAATAAGACACTGTCTTATTTTCGGGGAAACAGTAGATAATTGTCTGCTTTTTATTCTTTGCATACATAATTTTTTTTTCCTCCCCATTCTTCTCACAGTGGCCACTTTTACTAAGGGCAGATTGCTATATCTCCCTTTACTTCTGGTACTCTGGCACATGCGATTAGGACATGTGACCATGCACATCATCTCAGGGGAGGAAAATGCCTTTCCCTGAGATCTCGTGAGATTACAGATGAGATTTCCTAGCAATGCTCTGCTGCTGTAACCTTGCCAGGATGCATCGCTTGGGCACGATTACATCATTTGTGCCAAAGTGGACCAGGAAGTAGAAAAACTATTTGTAAGTATAATAAAAATATATGTTTGTTTAACTAATGAATGTAAGAGGATTTCAAATCAGCATGCAGAGCTGCACACTGATGTGAGTTTTAGTGAAATGGGGTAAAGGTCTACTTTAATCATCATCAACAGGAACATCAACAGCATTTAAACAGGAGACTCTTCGACATGCTATTAAACCCTAAACCAATACATGTACATTTCCCCAGGTTTATCCCTTTAACCACACCGCAAGTACAGAAATATAGTGTGCTCCCACCTTGCTCTTTGACATGAGAACACAGCTCTGAATTTCTAAGCACGTAGTGTCAGCCCTCCCAAATTAATTTCAGATGGATTACAAAGGACACAGACCATTCCTCATCTCCATAACCCCTCCCTGTGCCAGGCAGAGGGAACAGGAAGTTATCAGCTCACAAGATTTCTGGTCAAATCAAAAGGTATTTTTTGCATTTATGAAATAAATACAACAGAACACTTTCAATGTTATATTCAACAGACCAAAAGGGAGGAAACAGGGGCAGTTCATTGTTAGTGTTTATATACACTTTAGGCACTTTGCTGAGTATAACACTGTCAGTGTCTTTTGTATTAGAATAAATGTATGCACTCCTTACCTTACTAGATTCAGGATGTAATCTTGTCTGTTGTCTGCAGCTATGCCATTCTTCTTAAGAATATTATTAACATCTATTACGGCTTCTAGGTCTTTAGATACATAGCGGTGGTACAGCTTTTTCCATGGGATAAACTAAAACAGCAAAAACAAAATGGAGCTGAATGGCATCATGCTAGATAGAAATTGTTACCAATGTGCCTTAAAAATGACTTTATTCATTTTACAAATGCTAGAGTCACTCATATAAGAAGGATGAGGATAGTCTACTAAAAAAATGTACGGTCTCTTATGGCAAGGGGTGCAAACACTGCCCTTTGCACTGAGCTCCCATAAAATGACTGACTGACGGCGCACAGTGTACGTCGCCAGCATCGGGCTGTTTAAACAGACTCCCGGCGGGGGCTGTTTAAACAGACTCCCGGCGGCTTTTGCCGCTGGGAGTCTGTTTAAACTTGTAAAGCTGGCTTTACAATAGAAGCAATTCTGTCAACTGTCAACAGATCGCTCCTACAGTCCCGTGAAGGCCCCCCCCCACCCCGCCCGACACCCCCGCCGTGCTTCCTGGGCTTTGTTGCCCCTCCTACGGGCCCGGCTTCTCTGGTGTCGGCGGGAAGCCGGGGAGGAGATGGACGAACCTCTGTTCGTCCATCCCCTCCCTGTTCTATGGGACCGGGAGCGATGCAGATTGCATCATTCCGGTCCCATAGCTGTCAGCGCTGGGCTCCTGAAGCCCAGCTATAAGCTATTGAAGTGCAATCTACACTTCAATAGCTTATTTGGTGTGTAAAGGTGACGCTGGGGGTCTTTTGGATCCCCAGCATCACCTTAAAGAGTACCTGTCACCACCATCTGCTTGTAAGCTCCCCTATGTGATAGCAATCAAAGTAAAGTTAAAAAAAATAATAATAATTTTAAAATTAAAATGAAATAAAATAAATCAAAAATTTTTTTTTAAAACCCGCGAGCGCGCGTCGCCACGTAAACACACGTCAGGTGCGCCTACGTATTAAAACGGCGAACGCGCTACACATGTTGGGTATCGCAGCGCACGCCAGAGTGAGAGCAATAATTCTATTACCAGTATTTTTGGGTACCCCTAAATTGATGACCTGTGGGGGCTTTTAAAGCGTCGTCTATGGACTTTTTGGGGTACTGAAGTTTGTCGCCGCTTCACGAACGCACACAATTTTTAACCTGGGCATGTTGGGTATCTATTTACTCATTGTAACCTCATCTTTTATATTTTATTTTAAAAAATTGTATTTTATTGTGTTTTGGGGCACTAAAGTACATTTTTCACTAAATTTTGGGGTTTGAAAAGGAGTTGCGCTAATATTGTGCAACATAAACATTTTCAACTGCCACCATTTTATTCTATAGGGCCTTGGCTTTCAAAAAATATATAATGCTTGGGGGTTTTAGGTAATTTTTAGTCCTAAAATGTGGAATATAACATGGGTGCAAAAAATGAAAGAAAAAAAAAAAGGCTTCAGTCATGAAGGAGTTAAAGCATATCTAAACTCTAAAGCAAAAAATATGTATATTGCAGCTCATTAATCTTTAAATGTGGAGGGTCCGTTATTTTTCTTTTTTTTTCAGATTTCTTTCCTTTATTTAGATTGATTTTGCATATATTGTGCATTTTACCATCACATACTGCTGAGCCAAGCTCCCTGACCCCTTTCTGGTGGTTGAAGTGCTATGTATTACATCAAAAAATATTAGTTTACACAGCCCGTTGCACTACACGGTTTGCAAAATACAGCAAGGTGAGCCAGGAGAGACAGCCAGGGGAGAGAGCAAGGAGAGAAACGAGGAATGACAGCCAGGAGAGAGAGAGGAGAGACAGCCAGGAGAGAGAGCGAGGAAGGTTTTTTTTCGTTGGTAGATCTCATGTAGCTCGTCATTTGAAAAGTAGATCTTAACACAAAAATTGTGGGCACCCCTGCTGTACATCATTGTTTAATGCTGAACTCCAGGTATACATTTTTATGCATGCTTACATTGGTCCAATTTGGCCCAATGGATGTATGCATATTTTATACCATACAGGGACACAGTAAAACTGTAAAACACTGTGGTAGCGGGAGCTACTACATTGCTTTACATCGATCTTCCACGTCCTGTATGGTGCTGACATAAGCAGCTTCCCCTCTGCTCTGAATACACAGGAGGTTGCTCATTTAGAACATCGGCCATTCCAAAAAAGCCTTATATTTTTATCAATGACCACAAGCTGATTGTCTGATTGGACAAAGGGGCAGATTGTGAAATCAGAGCAGAGGAAAAGATAAAGGACCCAGAAGATCACTGTAAAGCACTGTAGTAGGTATAAAATATAAATAATTAGATTGGGCCAAGCTAGACCGATGTAAATATGCATAATACTTTCAGGGTTATTCACAAAAGGGTGAAGAGTTTGGAGAAGGCAGGAGAAATGAACAATCTAGGACAACATAGCTGAACTGGAAAGTGAGCTGAATTGTTTTTTTTCCCAAATCTGCTATGTTGTCCTAGATTGTTCACTTCTCCTGCCTTCTCCAAACTCTTCACCCTTTTGTGAATGACCCTGTTTATACCTGAAGTACAGTGAAGCATGCACTGAAGGCAGCAATAAGTTTGTGTAGTGTGAGTATGACCAATAAAATTTTAAATCATTTGCCCATGTCTGACCTTCTTATATGCAGTTACAGAAAAGGGTTCCAGTTATTTTTTTGATTAACAAAGAAAAAAAATTACGCAAGCAAAAAAATAAAATAATATTTTGTGGTACTGCTCTCTCTTTTCAATGACTTAACAAGCTGCCATTTTCTTTTGGGAAGAACAGACTACAATATATAAAAATAATATAATAATACAAACCAATACATCAGCAACTACTGCCTTCCATTTCTTACAGACCAAGCTCACATTCTGGTACAGGTCCTCAATAGGAAGGAAACCAAATATATGCTGCAGGAGTTCAGTTGGGAACTGGCTTAATATGTCATATGATTGTCTTTTATCTCCAGTTACTCCCAGGAGTCCATAGTGCTGATCATCAATTGAATCCAGCAGGAGGCTCATTTCATCATCATCATCCTCCTCCTCTTCACAGAAATTGCTAGAAGACATAGCATCTTCTCCTGGTTGATCTATATTTTGGCCATGGCTCCAACTTTCCAAAGAAGAAAAAGGCCGTTTTCGATTTGAAGTGGGTTTAGGAGAAGACCAGTCAGTCCCATCAAACAAAGCAGCGTTCTCATCTACATGACCAGAGAACAATGCACCATCTTCTCCTTCCATGTCAGCTGTGTTGTCGCTATTAGACCCCGAACTTGCAAGATCCATGCTTTTACAATCCACTGATCTATTCGCATGAACAGTCCTTGTAATGCCTATATGAAGATAATAAACAGAAATCCAAATTAAACACAAAAATAATAATTTAATGGCACAGAATGCACTTAATGCTCAATGCCACCTTGTAGAGACTTTCTAATTGAAAGATTGAGACAAAGTACAAAGTGCACAATCCTCTTAGCATTTGTAGTTTGTTTTTCACGCCAGCCTGTATTCTATGCTCCTCACTGCACCACAGTTGAACACTGTCAACTGTGAGTCGACAAATTTGAAGCAGGTGCAAATATTCCGCTTTAATCCAAAGATTTCCACCACAGTACTTTTTTTCTGCTGCTAGATTCCTCTGAAGGCCAGCATTATTACATTCTAATTGCCTTTTCTTGTGTTGGGACTGCGTTGGAAAAACTGTCCAGCGCAGCCCCAACGGATCTGGTGTGAATGGGCCCTTATGAATTAGTTTTGGATAGTACGAGGTGGTTAAGTAGCAGCGGTAGAGAGTAGGGATGCACTGATATATCTCCTTTTTCCTTGTGGCTTTATACAAAACACCAAAGATTTTCTAAATAAGCTGAGGCTTGTCTTTTAAATATTATAGGAGTCTCAGCTTATACTAGTTACCATGGATGTGGAGTCTCTATATAGTAACATCCCCCACAAAGATGGTATTGAGGCCTGCACCCCTTCTCTAACAACTTTCTCTCTCTTGAAGTGGTAAACTCTGTCATGTTGATTAGTATTGCTTCTGACCTGAAGAAGAGAAGTTAACTCTCGAAAGCTTGTCTTTTGAATATTATGTTAGTCGAATAAGAAAGGTATCATTGCATACTGCAATAATATATATCCCACCTTATTTAGCTCTTACTAACCACTCAAATTAAGACACACTTGGTGTAATAATAATTCCTACCTCTGGGCCATGTCTTGTTCCTGCTACGAGGATACAGGCCTTTGTTGATATCCTTGCTGATACTCCACTGATGGAATGGTTGGGTGAGAGCACAAGCTCCCTCTCTGCTCTGTGCCAGATTTTGACAATCCCACTCTGTTAGGTGCTTCCGCCGTTTCACTATTTGATAAACAATGTGAAAAAAGGTTTAGACTGAATGCCAGTACAACTTCTTGCATGTATTCCTGACACTTTTAATTTCACTTTTAAGTGTCTCTATGGTCAAAAACTAAAAATAAATATGTATTCCTAAACAGGGCCGGCCTTAGGCCTTTAGGCGCCCTGTGCGAGAAAGCTTTACAGCGCCCCTCAGTGACCACACCCCTCCGTGGCCACACAAAATGAATTCTCCACAAGTTCTATCCCTCTCCTAAGAACCATATTGATCTAGAGGTTTGTAAACTTACATATTGAAGATGCCCATAGGATGTACTTCCTCAATGCACTGAGACAACTTCACTCAGCCCTGTGAATATGCATTTCGAGTGTCACTACTCTAAGCCTGCCATCTGAATTACAACTCAACGTCTGAAGTGTAACACTATCATTGTTTGCTGGAAGCAATGCATTTTGGGCTAAGTAGTGTTGAGAAATTGAGATTGCGTCACATCAAGCATCAGGGAAAGAAATGCAAAACACACTGGGAATTCAGGAAGTTGTTGAAAGTGATAGGCAGACAGAAGGCAGCATTCACTTACTTGATCTACACTCCCACTCCAAAACCGGCCCCTGCAGCTTCTTCCCCCCTCTACTGCAGCAGTCAGAGGCCCTCTGACATCAGGGCCTATAGTAATATATTATACGTAAGGACACCTAGGAGTAGTCCATGAGTTGGATGGGAAAAAGGTGAGCACCGACCGCCGGGGGGAGCTGGGATCAGGTAAATAAAAGTCTTCTTTACCATACCCCTAGATCTAAAGGAGCAGTAAATCCTTGCAATTCAGGAGTAGTCCCACTGCAAGGGTAGTTTTGGTTTTTATTTACCAGGAAATATTTATTGCTATATATGCTCCAACAATGAGGCTCTCATAGATTAGTATTAGGGACCACACTACACGGAGGGATCATGACAAGGCAGTGTGGCTGTCCTATATATTTGTAAATGAGTGCAACTAAAACCTCTGTTTTGAACTCAAGTTGTTTTTGTTTTACTTTTTTATTGGCTAGCTGGTAAGTGTGTTGAGAATTCTTTTGTGATAATTATAGAGTAGCTCCAGTCAAGAGTATTACTGAATGTACTGAAATGAGGCAAGTATGTACAGCACATACATAGGAGTCTTGTCCCCATAGTGCACCTCTTACCTTAGTCACTATGGGGGGCGGGGGGATTTAAGGTCTTTCACTGTCTCAAATGCTGCACAGTTGAAATATTATGTGAAATGTCACAAAACATTGCAGTGAGTCGCAAACATTAATATGTTGCAAAAAAGACGGAGAACAGAGATAAAACTGTGATTAGTTAACAGTGGTGTCACAAGGGGGGTGCGGGAGACAACATTCCAGGGGTGACACCAAAATGACTGACAGTCATTTTGGTGTCAACCTCTCTAAAAAGTCGGGTACTCGAAAATGGAACGAGAGCCCAACAGTGTCAGGAGAGAGGAGGGGACCCGGTGGGATACCTCATCCCGCCGGGTGAACGTCCCCTCCTTTCTCTGCCGGCGTCCATGACCAAGATGGCCGCCGGCAGGAGTAAATCAGAAGGCTGCGCATGCGTGATGACGTCGTCACATGCACGTGAGGTGACAGCACGGCGGGGTGTGTCACCAGGTCTGGCCTCGGGACGCCCCTGTTAGTTTACATGACATTTGGGTGTTTGTGCCTAAAAGTTTTGGTGCAAACACATTCAGAAATTCCCCCTTAATTAAATGGGAGTGAGAAAGGGTTACAGACTGTCAGCCTTTTACTGCTGCCTTGAGACAGGTCTCAGGCAGAACAGGAACTAAGGAGGGATCCAAAAAATGGGGACAAAGTGAAAAATAAAATTCATTTTTTAGTAGAGCAGGGAGGTTTTGGAACGTCTGGCTGGAATGTACTGCCATCAGTGTATCTATTCAACAGTAGACTGTATGAGACAGATTTTCAAAGTCCTCTCCATTCAAAACTGAAAAAGGTTTTGGCTGTAGTTGCCTCCCTCAGCCCATCCAAGATTAGAAAACAAAACTGTTAGCTTCAGATATACTTTACTCATTATGCATCAATACACTGACTGGTAAACATACATTTTTCAGGCTGGGATATTCCGAGGTAAACCCATGGATTGTCATAAGATGCCATCATGCAATACCACACCAGTACAATATTACTACATACAGAAGGACAGCCTCAATAGTCTTTAATCTCAGGTTATACATGTCCCTGAAAATATCACAGCTAGGGCTGCAACTAATCATTTTTTTTTATAATCGATTAGATGGCCGATTATTTTTTCCAATAATTGATAAATCGGAAAACAAAAATAAAACATAACATTGTGAATTTAAAATAATAAAATACACAAATGGAGTGTTACAAAGTTTACTTTTAGAATAAAACTACATGCACAATTTTTTGCAATCTCACTGTCCTGGAACGCACGACATTGCGGCACCACGCCTTCCAGTGAGGGCGATCACACTGTGGTGGGAGGCGCATTTGGGGTGCCATTGAAGTGAATGGCACTGCAACGCACATCCCGCAACAGAATTTGTCAGGCTGAAACTGAAAATTACTTTTTCCCCACGTTTTAATAATTTTTGTAAAAATAATTGTATTGTAAGCACATGGCGCTTGAATAGCTACAGCCAGGGAATGACAACTGCCGGTGGCAAGATTCTGCAGACGGCAGCTGAATGTAAATACAGCAGGTAGTGGGCTGGTGAAATAGTCAGCCTGCTATTGGCCATTTCACATTTCAATAGCCTGCCAGCCATTGCACCTGCCCACTCACTGCTTGCTGCGCCCTCCTCCCAGCAAATAGGAGAGAGTTAGGTGATCCAAACATCTAATAGATAATGAGAATAGTTGACAACTATATTTTCATTATCGATGTATGTTTTCATTTGATATGTAAGGGCCTTTTCAGACGAGTGGTCCAATCAGGTCCACCAGTCAGTTCTTCAGGCGGACCTGATTAGATGCCCAGTGCTAGTCTATGGGCAGCTGGGTCTAAACGGACGGGCGTCTGTTTACATCTGGTTATTCTTGATTCTGGCCAGGTCCAGAAAAAACAAACGGAACAGGAGGATGGAGGAAAAAAACTGGACAGACGTAGATATCACAGCGGTGACCCCTCAGATCCCCTCCTGATCAGACCGCGTGAAAGAGGCCTAATGATACTAACTAAAAACCCATTATGGCCAAGTTCAGGGGACTATAGAAAGTAAAAAGTCTGTCTCCTGTATAACCGGTTTACATGCAGCAGTGAAAGTGTACAATATAGGCAACTATGAAAAAGTTTTATTATCTGCTGACAGTACACGGTGATCACACTGGTCAAGAATTCAACAATCTATTAAAACATTTACATCACACTACCCCACCTACAAAGGAGAAACCTGCTATTCAAGTCATGGTATATATAGGCATTCTCATACAGTATAGGTATGTCAAATCTCCCAAAGCTAGGACATGGAGGCTGATTTACTAAAAGTCTGGACAATTCACATCAAGTGAAAAGCAAGCTCCTGATTACTTATTTAAAGTAGTATAAAGTAGTATAGTATCTCAGACTAAAGTAGTATAAGTAGTATAGTATCTCAGACTTGTTTTCAATAATGGATCCAGAGCAAACAAATATACATTGCCCAGCAAAATATTTCTTTACATTTTTGCGTGAGCACTTACACTCATCCTGTTCATCAGAACATGTGGCTCCAACTCTCTCACCTCGGCTTCCATGAACTTCCTGTCCAGTACAAGATTACAGGGACAGATCAATCTCCAGTAGCTATTCATCTACAAGCTTGGAGAAGGGAGGAGTGGGGAGCGACTTGCCCTGCTGTGCCTGTGTCTTTGTGGAGACACACACAGGGATGGCTCCATAAGATCCTGCAAGGGAAAGGAGCCACCCTAAAACCAGTGCCCAGGGGACCAGCTGATACTGCAGGAAACTTAAAACATCAAGGAGCAGCATGCATTAAGTGATTGCATCAGCATTTGGAATAGCTTAAAAACATTTGGATTTCAAATAGACACTAAACGCAAAAATTTAATTATAAAAATAAGATCTATGATATAGTAATTTATGTACTCTGCTTTTCAGTATTTGCCTTTAAAAGCTCAAAAAACAATCTCTTTATCCATGTGGATAACTTCCTGCCGGAGGGTGGCTGCTTTTCTTCTCCATGGTCCCTATAAGAGCTGAAAAGTAGCCATCCTCTGTACTCGCTCCAGTTGAGAACTATGAGACATGAGGACGCTTTAATCACTCTCGAGTCTCTTCTGATGACTTCTCCTCTCTCAAATCCCTCCCATCTACAAGCAGCGGTGTACAAGTGTATAGGCAGCGGAAATAAGAGTAAGAATAAGGGAAGGAACGGTATGTAAATGGAAACATGCGTAGTGAGAACACTGAGCGCTGTGCATTGTGGGACATGTAGTGTGGGAGAGCTGCGCACTCTCCCACTACTCTAATGAACGTCGGAAGAAGAAAGCTGGAAAGAGAACCAGAAGAGCTGCGGGAGTGCGCCTGGCACATTTTAAGGTATTTTTTATATTTTTAAAAAGAAATGACAGCAGAATGATCTAATGTAAGGAGAGCCCTGGAAGCAGATAAAAGATCTGAGTTTGTCACTTTATTATCATTTTATCCTGTGCAGTGAGAGGGTAGTCCCGCTGCAAGGGTTAATGTTTTCAATTGTCTGGAGTTCCTCTTTATTAGTGTCCCCTGGACATAGAGAAACACTTAACCCTTGCAGTGCGGGGGTAACCACACTGCAATGATACGTTTTTTTTGTTTGTCCTTTAGGGCTTGTTCACACCAGATCCGGATGCGTTTCTGCATATGCAGTGCGTTTTGATGCATTTTCAGTGTTCTGGTGCATTCTTTTTAGCCTAAAATGTACTTTCAGGTGGGGTCCAGTGCGTTTCAGAGTGTTTGCATTTTTTATGTGTTTACATGAATTTTTGTGCATTCCAGAGCAGAAAAAAATAGGGCATGCAGCATTTTTCGCCCATGCACCAGAATTGACTGCACTGGTGTGAACAGAGACCAGAAATACCATAGGAATACATTAGGATGCATTTCAGGTGTGGATAAAAAACGCTCTGGTCTGACAAGCCCAGTCACACCAGAAAAAGTGCGTTCCAGAGAGTTCAGCCTCTGGAACGCAACCCGCCTGACTCACTTTGTTTTGGGGCGGGAGGTGCATTGAAGTCAATGGCACTGCAGCCACACACCCCGCTCGCAGTGTAATCACCGGCAGCCAAACGCGTGGCGTAATTAGTGCCTGAGTTCCGGTCCAGTGCCGCGCTTTGGGTGCCGGTGATCGCACAGCGGGCTGGGAGCGTGGCTGCGGGCCATTGACTTCAATGCACCACCACGCCCACTCCAGCCCCAAAACAAAGTGAGCCGGCTGGGTTCCGTTCCAGAAGCCGAACACTCTGGAACGCACTCTTTATGGTGTGATTGGGCCCTTAAGGGGTGCAAAGCTCACAACGCACGTTACAATCTGATTGTACAATCTCCTTAAGATCTACTAACATCGATGTAGTACAAGGGCCGGCCTGATTGGACGGATTAGGTAGGTCCTCACATTACATCGTTACGGTAATTCTGAAGTTGATTGCACAGTCAAACTGTAACGTGTACGGTGACCCTAAGTCTCGCTCAAGTCGTGCAAATCTATTCAGATTTGCTATAACCTTGCCTACACACAATAGCCTGCAACAATGTCCTGCTCTTCACCGGAAATAGCTACTGGCTGCAACTGATCACCGAAAGTGACAGTGAAAGTAACCGGCCACCTATACACTCCCAATCAATGTATCTCATAGTATAAACATGATTTATACGAACATCGGTCCTACTTTGCTCAGCGATCCATTCCAGACCACGGAATCTGCAGTTCCGCTCAACCCGATCCAGCCATATGCCTCGTATAGCATGCCTGCCTTCGTCCAATCACCATCGCCGAACAACTGACCGCCGGCCAATCATCATCGCCGACTAACTGACCCCGCCCAACCAAAACCTCCAGCATGTACACACTACTGGAAAGACGACGCATGATGCCTGTACATGCGCAGACAGCAAAGATTGCGTTCCATGACATTCGGCTCCGCCCAAGAATGGGCGTGGTGTACTGCGTAGCTAGGGTTTTGATTGGATTGGAGGGTAAGCCTTGCCTCTACAGTGAAATCGATTGGCCCGTTGCAGAGTGTGACAGCTCTGTTAGTCACATGGCGCAGTCATCGTTTTAGAAAATATATGGAAGATCGTTCTGTGTGTTACCGTACGTATGTCTATGTGTGGTGATCAGGCATTTGAAGAGGCTCAGTCATATGCTCTAGGTGTGCGGAGATCTTCACCTGTTCAGTGCTATTGCTGTGCTGCTGAACCAATTGCCTTGGCATGGAAATCTAATGCAACGTTTAATGAATGCTGTCATGATCAGCGATGTCCCGAGAGGAGCAGTACAAACATATCCTGAGGCTCGTTCAGGATGGCAAGCTATGCCAGTTACAAGAACTGCAGGCACATGCGGGTCTGTTCAGTGAGCTTCCTATGAAGCACTTTGGGCGATCTGGTGATACATTGTTGCATTATGCTGCCAGGCATGGACACCTTCCTATAGTTACTTATTTGGTGGAGGCTATGGCCATGGATGTAGAGGTACTGAACAATGACTACAAGAGACCGCTCCATGAAGCTGCATCCATGGGTCACAGAGACTGCTTGTTATACCTGCTGAGGAAGGGAGCCCAGGTGGACTGTTTGAAAAAGGCTGACTGGTAAGACATACGGCAGTGAACATGCAAATAACGTGTATCTAGGGCCAGTGGCGTCACAAGGAGGGTGCGACCCGCCCCCAGGTGAGACCATTGGAGGGGTGACACCAAAATGACTGCCACCCCCCTCTGAAAAGTCAGGCGCTCGGTCATGGACCGAACGCCCGACAGTATCAGGAGAGATGGGCGCCGTCAGGTATCAGAAGACTTCCGCGTGTGCGCAATGACGTCATCGTGCATGCCCGTGGTGACGTCACGCGCATGCGCGGTGATATCTCGGCGGGTTGACCCTCGGTTACCGCTCCGGGTGTCACCCAGCCTCGGGACGCCCCCGTCTAGGGCCGGCCTTAGGCCTTTAGGCGCCCTGTGCGAGAAAGCTCTACAGCGCCCCTTAGTGACCACACCCCTCAGTAACCACACCCTTTAGTGGCCACACCCATTTCCCCCCAATTTAAAGCCTCCCATTTTGTTAACCCCCAAAGAAACATTAAAAAGTATGATAAAAATAAAACTTTTATTCAAAGGTATTAAATTAGGCACAATAAAAGTATTCTTATTATATAAAACAACAGAAGGCAAACAAGTGATAAACAATAAATGTCAAACTAAAATAGAGTCTATAAAAATAAGGTGTCAGAATTTCATGCCGATCCCTTTCTTCAAGTAAGTGTATCTAGAAAAGTAAAAATAAAAGACAGAACACAAAACCTAGACTACATGTTAAATTAATGAATTACTGTTTGCCCGACTATATGAAAAATGTATTCAGGCACATAGTAATTTGTTTGAGAATGCACGGTGGCCATGTTGGCCACCAGCGCGTTCTGCGAATGCGTGCCACCATCTTGGAGGCGGGCAGCATGATGTCACATGACGCCGTGCGTGGCATCAGGTGACGTCACGCGCTGATATAGGCGCCGCCATCTTGGTGTATACCTGGATAAACACCAAGATGGCGGCGCCGCCCAACACGTGCAGTGTTATATGGTGCCATGCGCTTTGCCCCCAGAACACGCCAATGGCTGAATCCAAAATAGCATAAAAATTGGTTTTGTTTGATGAAACGAATGAAAACGTTTTTAGTTTTCGTTCATTTCATCTGAAATTAATTTTTAGTCTTCGCACATGTCTAATAATATGTTTCTGCAGCCTCAGCACTCAATGAATGGGAAGCACTCAGTACAGAGACTTCCAAATTCATTCAGACACTAATAGTAAAATATTTACTATCACCAGGTTGTGAATGGGCAGGAGCCTCTGTAGTGAGTGCTTCTCCCCATTGAGAAATTAATTCATAACTGGGGACACATAGTACTATGTGTCCCCAGCTATTTACAAACATTGGAGTGATCAGAGTGTTTGTTCCGCACACACAGAGGATCGGTAAATGTCACTGATATTTACCTGATCCTGCGCTCGGCCATGTACACAGCCGCTGTCACGGTGAAACTGACAGGATGACAGCGGCTGCTCTCTCTTCCTCACCGCTGGCCATCCGACATGACAGCGCTCCCTCCAGCACCCCCTCCCCCAGGCTTCTGCAGACTGTTTCACCAAGGACAGCGCTGAAGCGTGGGGGGCGGGCTGAGGAGGGAGCGCTGTCATGTCGGATGGCCAAGACGAGCTGTGTCGGCCGCCTGGCGCCCTTGTTGCCATGGCGCCCTGTGCGGCCGCACAGCTCGCACACCCCAAAGGACGGCCCTGCGTGTCTCTAAAATCAAAACTACTGTGTTGCCATTTTCATTAGAATAGACAATCATTAAGGGGGCAATAGTTTGATATCTACTAGTTGTACACATTAGGGGGTCTATTTTTAAAGAAGAACTCCAGGGCAAAATGTTCTCAACTCTTGCAGTGGGCCTACCCTTGTACTGCAAGGGTTAACTGCTCATTTGTGTCTAGGTGGGGAAAAAAATAGTTGTACTCACCCGATTCTCAGAGCCTGCCAGCTCTTAGACCGGTGCCTTCCCCCTTGGTCCCCCTCTGCTTCAGTGGTCTAAGGTCCCTGAGCTATCACATGCTATACACAGTGTATAAGATGTGAAGATGCCAAGGGTCATAACATCACTGCAGCGAAGGAGGAGACGGGCTGGAGGGAGCACTGTCACAGCCAGCCAGATCCGAGGTTCAGATGAGTATAACTTTTTTTTTATCCTAGGCACAAACTAGCAGTTACCATTGCAGTGCGGAGGTAGCCCCACTGCAAAGGTTAAGATTTTTTTCCCCCCGGAGTGCTTCTTTAGACAATTAGCAGAGCCATTGGCCTTGCAAAGCTCTGTGAATGTTTGTTCTGTGTGAATGGATGCACAAAATGTTATATTTTTTGTAGAAGGTGAATGTGCAGTGTTTTTTTTAATGTCATCTAATAATACCGCATTAGGCCACTAGATGGAGCTGAGGAGCATAGAAAATAAATATGTCTATGCTCTTCAGCTTCATATAGTGTCCATAATGTGGTATTACAAGATGACATTCGAAAATACAGTACATTCACGAAAATACAACAGGAGCGTTCATTTTGTGCATCCTTTCACACACAAAGAACATTCACAGAGATTTGCACGTCTTTGCTAATTGTTTCTAAATAGACTTCTTAAAGTATGAGATACAATAAAGCGCTTTTTTAGCCAAAACCCCTATCAATTTTTTATACTGCCCTGCTTGGCCGATTTCCCTTCACTTCTTTTTGCCCAAGATGAGCAACAGGAAGTGAGGGGAAGTGTCCTTTCAGACAGTTATAATGAGAGCAACACCCTGTTCCAGTGACAACTGTAAAACTTTGGATTCCTCATCACTTTTTGTCCTGTAGAAATGGCCACCTTGACAAACAGGGTCAATCCCTCCAGCAGGGACACAGACTGTAATGCAAATCTTATAGGTTCTAACTGTTCCTTGTGCTAATGAAAATAATTGTTTAGGCTAGAAATGCAATGTCGGTGTATCACTACACTGTCAAGGTTTACCCTGTTCCCAGCCCAATCAGTTGTGGCCCGAGCCATTCCCTTGCCCCTTTGTTACATGTAGCTGCGTGGTGGGGAATGCCCCCGGCCACAACTGATTGGGCCAGGAGCGGGGTGTCACAGTTCACACCAAGCCCACGCACATCACTATTCATTGCTGTTTTATGCAAATGAGAGAAAGAGAGTGTAGCATGCTTTACCCCTGGGCAGATAAGGAGGACCACCAGGGGGCTCATTCCAACTCTTAAGGAAGAATCCTTGACTCTGTGGGGTAAAAGGGAATCATTTACTTTAGGAAGCTTAATGGGTTTATTTGGCTCAGTGAACTTCAGAAAAGGGGGTTAAGGCACAGGGTACCCAAAAACAGGCAAACATATCTTTTTAGTATCCGTTTTAGTAACATCCGTTTTAGTAACAGGCAATACAGGTTATGTGCTTTTAAGCCGAGACCTGCAGTCTGTACTTTTAGACATTTAAGTGCAAACAGGTAGCACAAATTCTAATCCAAGCAGTGAGAACTTCTTGCAACTTTTATCCAGCTCACTCTTCAGCTCACTCTTCAGCACACTCTTCAGCACAGAAGCCTCTCTCCCCGATGCTCTATACAACACTTAATCTTCCTACTGCACTCGTTCTGGATGTACCCTCCAGCAAGGCAGCATAAATTCCCCAGGCCTCAGTTACCTCTGTTAGTAAAGACCTTTCCAAGGTAGCAGGCCCAGGAAGCAAAGACAAAATACTCTTACACAAGGGAAGAGCCTTCTAGAAGATCACCTCAAATATTTATATCCTTCCCCAACATTCACTATTGACAATGAACCTCCTAGTAATTTGCCATAGAGAATAACTAATTGTAACTCAGTAATATCGTTTGTTCCTGTTCCATCTGCACAGAACACTCACTGGCAAGAGCTTGGGGTGACTACAGCCAAGCTGCCCACTAAATTTAGAATGGGGGCACTCCACGTTATGGCAGTGTCCCTGCAAGAGCGAGAAAGATATGTCGATGTTATATTTTGGTGATTTCCTGTCTTTCAATTACCTGTTGCACTAAGTACTCCTTCTTTAGTGAAAATAACCATGGCTACTCTGATGTTTATTTGATGAACTGCCTCTTAACTATGCAATATCATTTGAATTTAGGACACCTTCGATGATGGCTTGTACCAGGAAAAACCTAGATATTATCAAAGATCTGATTGAGCACAAAGCAAACCCCATGCTGAAAAATAAGGATGGCTGGAACTGTTTTCATATTGCATCAAGGGAGGGAGAACCAGCAATTATCAAATATTTGCTTGATTTCTTTCCTGATATTTGGAACACTGAGAGCAAGATAAAGAGGACGCCATTACACACAGCAGGTTTTGACTTCAATATGCCTACTTTCCAGTGATCTGTTTTATGTACAGTACTGCACTCCTCCCTGTCACGTTTTCATAGCTGTTTTATGCACCCTGTGGGGAGTTTCACCCCTGCCATTAGTCCTGGTGGCAGTTGTCACAGAAAGTAATAGGATATCCAAAATTTTAGAGTTGTCATCCGGAAAAGGAACATAGGGGAAATCTTGGCTTTAATTTGTTTAGGTCCTGGTAATTCATATTATGAACCTTCTTACTTCTACTACTACTACTACTACTACTACTACTACTACTACTACTACAGTAAACTCTCTGTTATCTGATATTTAACTAACCAGAACTCTCATCTAACCAGGAAAAAAAAATTGCTGTGTAGTCACTGTTCGTGTGACTATTTGTCTTAATTTGCTTTTGATTACTGCATTTCAATATTAGAATGAAGTGTAATACAAAGTTTGTTATATGATATTGGGCAGCACAGTGGCGTAGTGGTTAGCGCTTCTACCTTGCAGCTCTGGGGCTCCCTGGTTTGAATCTCGGCCAGGTACTATCTGCAAAGATGTTTGCATGTTCTCCCTGTGCTTGTGTGAGTTTCCTCCGGGTACTCCGGTTTCCTCCCAAACTCCAAAGACATGCTAGTAGGTTAATTGGCTCCTGTCTGAATTGGCCATGTATGTGAAATGGGGACCTTAGATTGTAAGTTCCTTGAGGGCAGGGACTGATGTGAATGTGCAACTATGTAAAGCGCTACGAAAATTGTAGGCGCTATATAAATACCTATAATAAAAAAAAATTTAAAAATGATATGGTATAGTATGGGGTATGGCATTAGTTAGACCTATTTTTAATGGTAACTTTCAAGCAACCAGAAACTACATTTATCCGGAATCTACCAATCCCCATGAATGCCGGATAACGGGGAGTTTACAGTATTTCCTTATCCAAAGCTATTTTGCATTGTCTTATATTATGTAAATAAATACAACGTGTGTTTTATATATACACATCTGAATACTGTTCTTTTATTTTTATTCAGCAATGCATGGCTGTTTTGATGTTGTAAAGATTCTTCTTGAAAGGTAATGTTATATAGGTAACATAATGTTAAATAATTTTAAAATACATTTTGGGAATATATTTCAGTTTTATAAATGTCTTGTGTTGTGTACCGATATCAACATTTAATGAGAACTGTCACATTAAATGTTTGGCTGATTGGAGAACCTGGATATATACTCTTAAATAAGTATAATTCTGCAGGCTCACCTATAAACAATGTATTTAGTTTTACTTAACTTAGAGCTAAGCATCAGACGTAAGAGGTTTTTGGGGGGTTTGACGGTTTCTGCTCTGTTATCTGCTTGAATTAAAACTGATCGTGCGCTAATTTTTGTGAATCTGATAGTAACAGCACTCCCTGTTGCTGGGTGACAACGTTAAACCACTGCCCAATAAGCAGCATTGTTGTCAGCTTCACATGCAGACTCCTTCAGTTGGCCATTGAGCTGCCTATCATGTCTGCATGAGGCATGTGTAGACAAAGACATAGAATAAATCAGGTGTTTACTTGCCATACTCCCATTTATAATTAGAATAACTTTTGAGTGGTTTTCAGATCTATGATAATTATTATCTATGATAATGCAGTGGCCAATATAATTTCTGAATAGTGGGTATAAACACTGCAAGAAGCCACCGATGTCGGAGAAAGGTAAGTGGGCACAGGTGGGTGAGGGGTGGGTTACTATAGAATACGTTTGGGGGGGGTAAGGAGACATTTCTAAAGCTGAACATATCCTATGATTTTTATCTCTTGCAGATGCAGTTATAACCCTGACTGCAAGGACAGCTGTGGAGTGACACCTTTCATGGATGCTATCCAGAATGGCCATCTGCCCATTGCTCAACTCCTCTATGAAAAAAAGAAGGTACGGCTTAGTAGGCATTTAACATTACCTTTAAAGAAACCCTGTCACTAATTTAAAGAAAATTCCAGATAAAGGCACAGAAAAATCAAGTACCTTATTGAGATGGAAAGGTAATATGTACATAACTTCCCATATTGTACATCTAGATTAGCTCTTGCACTAATTGATGTTTTATTTCTGAATTTTTTTTTTTTATTGAAGGTCAATTGACCACTACACATCATCGCAGTTCCTTAGCAAAGTGAGCAGCTGGCAAGCTCTCCAACGTTTCCATATACAAAAGTGAAGAGGGGAGGAGCTGTATGTCTTTGTTGGGTCTGAGTGTTGCTGGAACTCAAACCTAATAAGCCTTTAGAAAAGTGAATACAGTGAAAAAGATGTTTGTATCAACTGAACCAACCAAATGGTTTTCTGAACAGTAACATTTGTAGGGTAGGAATTTAATGACTATTCCAGATAAACACAGCGCCCAAAATCCAGTCTGCTAGCAGCTCTCCTAATTTTCTCATGCAATCTTATTGGGATCTGGTGATCCATTTTAGTCTTATAGAAATAAGCATACAGGGTGATTAATAAGAGGGCCAGAATTCAGGACTGCTCATATGCATGCAATGAACGCAAAGTGCAGCAAGAGACTGGGTTTGACTTACTTGGCCTGCAGTACAAATGCATCTCAATAGGATCACCAGTGTTAAAAGAAACATGAAGTAGGTTAAACACAATACAACTTTGAAGTAAATTGGAATCTGCTGACCTACATTTGATTTGTTCAGGAAAACATCACCTGTCTGCATAAGCCCTCAGATTGGTGTTTGTAGAGCAACCTTTCTCAACATAGGTTCCCTGGAGTTCCTCCAGAGGGTGCTAGGGGATCCTTGATCAGTTGGCAATGTTGGATTGGTCTAATGCCTACACTGATCATCTATGTTCGGGGACAGGGGGTTATCTATGTAGCCCACATCTACACTGACCACCAACATATGCTGATCAGCAATGGAAGGGGACTTTTATAATGATCACCAAGGTAAGGGTGACCCACTCTGATAACAGTGTAAGGGGACATGTCTCCATGGACCACTGTTGTAAGCGGATGCAACCATTTTCACTGTCTGAATCTTGCTTCTGGTCATTATTATTATTATTTTAAAAAGAGAACTAAGCCAAATGTTTTTTGGCTTTAGTTCTATTTTGGGTTGTCAGAACTATTGGGGCTGAAAAGGAATTAAACTATAAGGCCTATACATATTGTTACATGGGCATCCTGGAAGCCATCTTTGTCTGTCTGTTATGAGGTGAATGCAAGTTGATTATTCCTGGATAAAGACTCCAATATCAGCACATTTTAAGAGTCTTACCATATACATTTCCAGGTTGTAAATTGTGGGGTCCTAGACAACAACAACAGATGAGGGCTGGCCATGGAGCCAGACTGTGTTATAATGAGATTGATGACCGTCATGTCTCAACTTAAACAATGATCAAGAGACTTGAATGTTTAATTTTTTTCACTCTCATTACTGGTAAAAAGAACTCATTTAAAAGTTGCCTTATGAATAAGTACTATTAATTGCAAGTGATTATATTAGCAATAACTTCTATTGTATTATTAATATTGTATGCCTACTTAATTGAATAATTTCAAGTATTTTTTTATTTCATTTTAGTATATTTTGCTAATATTTGACCTATATTCATTATATATTGTTTGGTTTTACTCATTGAAACATATTAGTATGTATTATGGTGGGTTTGTGTTTTAAGTACATAGAATTAGGTGGGATATAACGATATGTTTTTATCATTTTATTTTCAAAATGTGTAGAGAACCACTGTGTCTGGTACCAATTACTTAATTCAAGGTATAAAAAAAAAAAAATGTAATTGCCGTAGTTCAGACTTTCTCAAAGCTGTATATCTATTAAGAGACAGTAAGTTGAACAGATGCTGCCATAGAACAGACCACCCTATTAAATTAATGGTTTTGTTCATCTCTCAAACAAAAGATTTGGCAATTTTTGGTAAAGTATACATTTCTATTTATCTGTAGGCAATTAACTAGCCATATACATCTGACTAGACCAGGGGTGGCAAACACAAGGCCCGCGGGCCAAATCCAGCCCGCCAAGACCATTAGGTCCTTGTAGCATCGAGATTTGAATTTAGATCTTTCTAGCTGCAGTAGGAATGGTCTCTTTTCCAATCTTGGGAGACATATACAGATATGTATAATCTCCTTGAAGCTTATTTCAGTTTCTAGTCAATGGTTGGGTTAGGATGTACCGTATTTTTCGCTCCATAAGATGCACTTTATTTCCCCCAAAAGGAGGAGGAAAATGTGCCTGCATCTTATGGAGCGAATACCTGACGCCCGGGACATGCAGTTTCGGGTCCTGGGCGAGTAGTTTATTTTTGTACATTCAGCCCTGCTCCTGACAAGCAGAGCTTAATGGACAGTGGGAGCCGATGCTCGTTGAATACAAGAGATCTAATTGGATCCCTTGTAATAAATCGAGCGGCGGCGGCGATCGTGTCTGCCCCCCGCCGTGGTTTTCGGGGTCCCCCGCTCCTCTGGGGGACCGTGACCCGTCACGGTCCCCCATAGGAGCTCACCATAGAGCCCCTTGAGCAGACTAAGAACGTTGTTCTTCGTCTGCCTTGTGTGATTACTGAGACAGCGCCACCTGTCTCATCGGTCACTAACTGCAGCTTCTGTGACTGAATTTCTGTCACAGAAGCCCGGCGTCCTGTCATCCGTCCTATCATCCGGAGCGCAAAATACGGTATATTTAAAAATTAAATACATTTGTGGAAGTTTGTTTTTACCTCAAATATGTTCTTGGCTTATAGAGCCAGTTCTGTGTATGGGATAACAAGTTGTCCATGCGCCGTAAAAGTTGAGCTTGTGAATATCTGTTGGCTGGGAGAAGTCACGTGTCAAATCTGCACATTTTATTTTCATATTCTCTGAGCTACTGAGAAGCTACTAGTGACATTCCAGAAGTTACTTAGTTTTGTTACATTGATATTTTGAAATAATATCCTGTGGAAATAAGTTGGGAATCTCCTTAATTACAGATACTTGCTTGTTTTCATAAATAGAAAACTGTTTATTTTATCAGTATAAACATTCTTACAGGGTCACAGGGGTAAATTTACTCCTGTGATCCAAAATCAGCATCCTAGTGAGCTACTGCCCACTATATGATGACAGCGCAGAGCGGCATAGCAGCCGGGAAAGATCCCAACAATATTGTCTGGATCCACCCCGCTGCCTGATAGACTTCTGGCTCTGCCTCTTTACATCCAGAGTCAGCTGTGCCTGCCCTCTCACCTGTTTGTCCCCTCTATGAGCACTGGAGGAAAAGAGAGAGGGGAGGGGGAAATCTTGTGGGGAGTGGTGACTAATAGCCAACGATCTTTGCAGGGAGAAGACCGTTATCGATCTGACAGTGGGGAGAAGGGTTAAGTAAACTTTTTTTTTTTTAAATATCTTTTTCTGTACAAAAACTTATAAAGGTAAGAGCTAGATTTGGTGAATTTGCTTGTATTTACATATATCTGCTATCAAGGAACTGGCTTGATATTGGTTGGATTCCAATTTGCTTATCTCTCACATGAGTTTGGGGAAAATCAAAAAAGGGTGGTGTTGGACAGTAAACAAATTATTGCTTTTATTTTTTTTAAAGTATGACCATACAATGTCTAAGATGCATAACACAATTATAGAACATTTATAGTGTTGTGGTTTCCTTCCTAACACCAGGTTTGCTTCACAGCTAGGGATAAGATGGGAGCCCAGGCATTGCATCTAGCTGCTGTTACAGGACATGACCAGTCTCTCTATTACCTGGTGTCTAGTCTTGGCGTGAACGTAAATGAAAGAGCAACGTCAATCCAGCTAAGCCCACTGCACTATGCTGCTAAGGTCAGGTTTACAGTTTGCTATCTTCAATAAGGTATAACTAAGATTTGAAAACAAAACTCCAATGCTTACTTGACATATTTTAAAATGAAACGCAGGGAAAACAGCTAATTACCAGTTAAAATACATATATACAGTATGTGCTGTTTTATCTGGCAAATAATTTACATTTCTATATAGCCATTCACATGATTTATAAAAAAAAATGGAATTTACACAGCCTAGCAGGGGACACAGTTCTTTCCTGATAAAAATTTAACTTCCAGTTCAGCAAAACAGATTCCTATGTCCATCTCTCTGTATCCAGCCTGCTCATTTGACTGATTCAGCATAGTCACCTCTGTCTTTGGAGGTGTTTTCCTAAACCAGGATGTAGCTACTTTATTGACTACAAAGTTGGGTGTTTCACAAGAATGTCTGTAAAAGTTACAAATCCTGTGGCATATAAAAGAGTAACTATACAGACACTTCTCAGCTTACAATGGGGTTACGTTTTACTAAACCCATCATAGGCGATCATATCGTAAACCAATGAGTGTGCTGTACTGCCGTGGTCGGCAGCAGAAAGTACACAATGGGAAGCAATAGCCATACTGCTATTGGCTATTTCAAATTGCAATAGCAGGCTGGCTATTGAAACCCTGCCCACTAAAGTTCACATTGAGCGGTTTGCAAATCGCGCGATATCACGCAAATGCTTGCATTGAGCAAGCTTGAATCGCGGCTAAATCCGCTCCAAAAAGGGTCCGGCTGTAGCGACACATGACCCACGACAGCAGGACCCTTTGCCCCATTGAGAAGCATTGGAGAGCGATATCGTGCGGTAAATTGCCGCGATATCGCAGGAATTACCGCGCGATAAATCGCTCAATGTGAACGGGGCCTAAGACGAGGAGTGGACCTGAGAGAGAAAGTTCTCTCTCAGGTCCGCTGCTCTGCTCAGTGGGCGGGTGCAATAGCAAGCCTGCTATTGGAATTTAAAATAGCCAAGAGCAGTTTGGCTATTGCTCCCAGCTTCTTCCATTCATCTGTCAGCTGTGGAAGCTAGCTGGCAGGTGAATGGGGAAGAGGAGCGCCTCAGGGATGGTTGCTTGAGAGTTACTATTAACCAGAAACTACAGTTATCCGGAACCTACCGATTCCCGTGGGTGGCGTATAACTGGGAATTTCCTGTACAGTAAACTCCATCCTAAATGCGAAAGATCGTAACCTGATCAATCCTAACCCGAGGAGCATCTGTATCTATATATTCTGGGGAGGAGCATGGGCTTTCACTTTTTTGTTTCAAGCAAATCACATAGAGAAAAGTGAAATAGTACCCTGGCAGATGTATCAAATGGATATGGTGGGTAATTAAGCACTGAAACTAGGATACATTTAAAGCTGTTTTTTTTGTTTTTACTTAAAGTGACACTGAACTCAGGAGTTAAATCTTAAAAATGCATTCAGGTACCTTTTTAACTATTAACAAAAATATGTTATTTGTATATCACTCGGCTGTAGATCCTCAAATCATCTCTGAATCGGTGCCGACACTGTCCTTTCTTTCTGGAGGGTGGCTACTGTTGTTCCCCATCTACATTTTTGTTAATAGTTAAGGTACCTACCTGAATGCATTTTTAAGATTCAACTCCTGAGTTTAGTGTCACTTTCAGTACACATCAAAAATAGTGTAGCACATACTATTTTTGTTGCTATATTTGTTTGTGTTTTCACATTCTTGGAGTGTTGGCAGCATCACATTTGAGTTACCTAGTTCACAGTGCAGATTTTTTTATTTTATTTATTAAGTTTACTTTAGTACAGCATATGGGTCTCATGATTCTGTTCATCTAGATTTGAGCAGTATAATAACATCTGTGCCACATATCGATTACAATAGGGTAATTTCTTCTGCCTCTAAAAAGCATGACCATTTGCAGAAGTTTCTGTACCCAATTAATATGGTTTTGTTTATTAAAGGAGAACTATGGGGTCAGGGCTTTTCCCCATAGTTCTGCTTAGGGTAACGGGAGGACACAAACTAGCGTCCTCCCGTTACCCTAAGCTCAGTATACTGCAAGCTACAGCTCGCGATATACTGAGACGCCGGAGCGGATCCCGACATCAATGTCGCGATCCATCCAGCTGCGTGAGTGACAGCTGGCTCTGCCTATCTAGAGGCAGAGCCAGCTGTACCCGCCCCCTCCCTGTCCGTTCCGCCAGTCAGCGCTGGCGGATCGGAGGGGGGAATCCATCCCCTCACCTGTCATGGCAGAGAGCAGTGACAGGATTAAGAAGTGAGCGAACACCGGCATGTGTTCGCTCACATCCCAATCTACTGAGCCGACCTGTGACAGTCTCATTGTCACAGGTCGGCTAGAACTATGAGGTGAGTGAAAAGCACTCACCTCATAGTTCTCCTTTTTAAAGGACGCATCACCGTTATTTTTATCTTACTTTCTCCTAATTTATTCCTTCTTTGCAAACTACAGTATGTTGGTTATGGGAGTTTTACAAACTCTGTCTGTGTTTTTAGGAAGGACATGTCGGCTGTCTCACAACTCTTCTATCCCTTGGTGCTGACTTGAACTGCCTAGATTCCAAAGGAAGGTCAGGTAAGATGTATATTAACCTGAAAGTGATTATTAGGGTTTACATTTAAATGTGGGAATATGAAGTCTAGCTACTACATGCAGCATAGATTAGCTACAACAATGACCCTACCTAACTGTCTTACATCTATTGAGATAATCTTTCAGTAACATGGAGGGGTTGTTTTTTTTTAAGGAGTCTGATGACTCGTATACTTGCATTGTGAGAAAGAGCAGTAAAGTAAAACTATTGTGTAGTAATGCTAAGCAGATAGCAGAGCCTGCATATGTAATATGGCTGCTCCTATAGACATAAGTGCAGTCTATACACAGAACCAAGGTTCTTACCACACAGTGATAATATAATGTACAGTACATGAAGCTGGTTTCTATAACTGAAAAGACAATACATTTTTTTTTAATGACCCATGCAACTTTATTTCTCTTATACATGTTGTGTTCTTTCCACAGCCCTTCACATGGCAGCTTCTGGCCAGCATGCAGAATGTGTTCACTTTCTCTTGAAATCTGGGCTAAAGGACACAGCAGACTCCCATGGAACATTTGCAGAACAACTTGCCAAGAAACCCACAGTCAAGAATATTTTTACATATTTTAAAGACATATTGCAAAAAGGAATTGATTAAGGATAAAGCTGGAAACATATTGTTCGACTGTCTCTGCTGGAGTGCTTCTAATGGCTGACAATGGGTGGGGGGAATCATTACCACGCAGTTGTATCCTTAAGTTTAGTCACCTGTAAAAGAAAGTGTATATACTTACCTTTCTGCTGGCCTGTGGAGCTAAAAGTTTCTGCATCTCCGCTCACCAGCCTCTGCAAGTATTCTACATTTTCAGTCATGTAAAATACTTGCTCCCCTCTGGCTGCTGTGGTTCCTTCTACCGGCTTGTACATCCTGACATACAGTGACTGGGGTGGGCAAGTATTTTACAGAATCAGATGTGTAGAATACTTGCAGTGGCTGAGAATAATTGTAGAAGCTGCTGCATTTCAATACATGGGCTGCTGAATGCGTTATATATTCACACCATACATGTTGGCATGGCAACACAGTTCCCAGAGACATTTTGCTACAGAGCAGACGTGTGTGAAGTGATTATATATTTTCTCCAACACTAAAGATTTGGGGTTTAATCCCACTGACACCACCGATGGGGCTTATTTTACTCCCACTGACACCAATGATAGGGTTTATTTTACTCCCACTCCCAAATGGGGGCACAGACCACAGGGCGAAAATGTCACAGAGGGTCTCAAAGTACCATGTTCAAAAGCTGTCCCCACCGCACTCCTTACTGGTCTGTCCCTTTTAAGGTGGGTGTTGCAGTGATAGTGGATGGCGCCACTTTAAATCCGAGTAGTAAAGTGTAAATCACCAGCACACCAAAGTAAAATCTTCAAGGAGTGGTGATTTTATTGATGTACACACATTTCATCATAAAGCAATGTTTCGGGTCCACTCAGGGTCCCTTCATCAGGCATGACGTAATGCTTTATGACGAGATGTGTGTACATCAATAAAATGACCACTCCTTGAAGATTTTACTTTGGTGTGCTGGTAATATACTTTACTTCAAAGTACCATGTGGCATGCAGTCACGGACCGCGCACCTGACTTGGGGGAGCAGCTATGCGGTCTCCATCTCGGTCGGATGCAGAACGCATAGTTGCTCCAGGTGATGCCGGCGCTCAGTGTGAGTCAGAGCGCACTGTGTGAGTGCCGGGAATTGATTAGTAAGACCTTTTACTAATCAACCACTGAACCACCAGGGAATGTACCCCATCCCTGCAAAAAACGTACGTGGGTGAGGAGGCTCTTCCTTTTATTTTAAGAAGCTGTGAGTGTATATTCCTGAGTGTGTGTGTGTGTGTGTGTGTGTGTGTGTGTATTCTTCTGTGTGCAAATGTGTGAATCTGTCGCTCCTCTATGATTAAAATTAAAACCTTTTTGGGGAAGAAAAAAAAAACACATACTGACACTGCACACATACACACATACTGATATGAAAAACACACAGAAACATTAAAGGAGAACTATGAGGTGAGTGCTTTTCACTCACCTCATAGTTCTAGCCGACCTGTGAATAGGGCGCTAGTTTGTGTCCTCCCGTTACCCTAAGGAGAACTATGGGGAAAAACACTGACCCCATAGTTCTCCTTTAACACACACATAGTAACATCACTCACAGAAATCCTGACAATACGCACACAAAAAAAAAGAAATATATATACAGGGCTTGAAAAATTTGATGGTGTCTTACCAGTCAGTAAAAAATGTCAGCATGACCGGACTATAGCCTTGCAATTTATGTTAACATTTTTTGGGGGGACAGATAGACCTTTCTTTTGGAGGTATATAAAATCACCACGGGGGGGGGGGTGTTATTTTTTTTTACTATATAATGAAAAAAGTACCATAAATGTTAAAAAAAAAAAACCCAGTTTCCCTACGTTATGTTATAAAACATTTATTCTTACCCATATTTTTAGTAAAACATAAAAGTCGGGGTCACGTCGGGTAAATAGACACCAAACATGTCAAGCATTAAAATTGAGTGCGCCCGCAAAAAACGCCCATAGGCGACGATTAAAACGCTTTTACTGCTCATTTGTTTAGTGTTATCAGTGATTAAGGTTTCTAAAATTATTGCTCTCACTCCGACGTTTGCGGCGATATGTAACATGTGCAGCACAATAGGCGCAATTGTCGTTTTCGCATGTAGGCGCATCCGACGCATATCTGCGTGTGTATGTGGAGTGCGGGGACTTAAATTTTTGTTTTTCTTTTTTAATTTTTTTATGCTTTATTTTTTTTAGGATTCTTTCATTTTTTTATTACTTTTTTTTTTTACACACAACTTTATTGCTATTACATGGGGGGCTAAGATAGCCAATTTACATGACAGGTCCTCTTTATGGAGACATCAGGGGTCTCCAAGACCCCTAATGTCATCTAGGGACCCCCAGAGAAGATAGGCAGAGATCAGCTTCTGTAGCTGGAGAGTGACACTGAATGCAGGAAGTGATGTAATGTACATCACTTCCTGCATTCGGGGACTGAGAGATCAAAGGGAGTTCGTATACTTAACTCCCTTTGATCTCCTGCCCCAGAGCCGGGCCGCATCGGGCATAGCGGATCTCGGGACTGGCAGCTGCTGATAATACAAGCGATCGGGCGTCTCTAGAGACGCCCGATCGCTTGACTGTAAAGCTCCCAGCCAGCCGTGTAATTACAACGGCTGGCCGGGAAGCTGCTCGTCGTGATCCGCCGTCCTGTCGTCATTTGGCCAGAGGCCCCCATGGGAGAAAATTTGTCCAGTGACCCCAAGTGAATTGAGTTTGAGACCCCTGGTCTAAAGCTGCCCCACACCATCCCAAACTAAAACACCGGTGGGGTTCACCACGTTTGGCACCTAGATCACACACGCAAGCAATGGAATACCACTTCTGGGTGTGCAACTTGCACAACTGATTCTTTTCTACGTGTTGACTTCTTCGCACTTCCAAAACTTTTTGTTGTTGTGGATAAAGGAGGAAATTGTTTAACCCCTCATTTTTTTTCCATCTGCGTCGTGTCCCTAAGAGAACAACTAACTATCTTATTTCCTGTCTCATTCACACAAGATGTGAGGAATCTCCCAAAGTAACAGTAATCGGACTTAGACAACTGTCACTAGAACAAGTGTCCTCATTGGCAGATTTCCCTTCCGTTCTTGTTCCGGTGACATCTGAAAATGTTGGATTTTCCTTCCGTCAATCCTGATGACAGTAGGCAGCAATAGACACCTAACAGGGTCTAATCCTCTCCAATTCCCTCCTATAAAGAAAAGATGTGGCTTTAGATCCACTCAGTTCCTATCTGAGAGCAGGTTGCCCGCCTTATATTAATTACAGAGCTGCTCCTTTTGGTGATAATAGGTATGTTTCTGGACACCTAAAAGGAAACATAACAGCTATGAATAAACTGGGGCTAAACTTCGGGACCGAGCAATTTAGAACTCCCTCGCCCTCAGCTTCCAAACATGACTTCAACACTGTTTTTGCAAATAAAGTTTATTTAATAATCAGGCGACAACACACCGCCTTCTTCCAACAAAGCCAGCGACCAATGAACTTGCTTCAGGTGACGTAGGCGGAAGAGACGAAGTGCTGTGCAGAAAGCGCACAGATTGACAGCGGCTCGCCCCTACCGGCGTTTCTGATTGGCTGGTTAGAGACGTGCGGGTGCAATTTGGGAGTGGGGATCCGTGCGCGTCCACATCTCGCCTCTGTTAACACTTCCGGAGCCGCCATACGCGCAGTCAGTGAGCGCGCCCCCGGCTTTCTTGCTTCTGACACCCAAGTCACCCGCAGTCCGACAATATGAATGAGGAGTACGACGTCATCGTGCTCGGTACCGGCCTGACGGTGAGAACATGCCCGGACACACCTCCACTATGTGGCCATTTACATCTCGATAGGAGCTGGCAGAGCAAGGCCTAGGGTCGGCGGACACTCCCAACCTGGTCCGGCCGTGTTGGCAGAGCCTGCTTGGTGACCGTGCACACAGCTTTGTATGTTTATGGTGGTGAGAGTACACGTGTACACCCATACTGAGGTACAAAGGGAAAGCCTCTCCCTGCACACTGACCTGCTCCATGAATGCCACGTCTGGCTCATATCGCCTCACTGGCCTGTGCTGCCTGGGCAGGCCACAGTCGGTTATGGTTAGGCTGGGTTTACTCTTCTGACCATGGTTCCTGTTTACACCCAGCCCATATTCAGGGTGTAAACAGGAAACATGGTCACACCACACTTTACTCCCATTACCGAAATCGTGGGGTTCCTCTCCCCACAGCATGGTGTGGCTGTTTTAATTTGCAGTTGCTGTGTGGGCAGATCTATGAATAGAGAAACTACAATTCCGATCAACCACAATGACAAAAGGATTTGTAGTTCTTAATGGAATACAAATGCCGTGACATCAGTGTACTTGTAGTCTATCTGTTCATGTTTGTTCTGGTTTACCCTTGGGTATTGTGTGACTGCATGCCAATAGCGTGTCATCCTGCATGCATTGGTGCGCGTTCACGCCACACGTCGGAAAAGTTGACGCATTTGCGGTGCCTTTACTTGTTAATGGCACCCCAAACTTGGCTGGTATAATGTGTGTATTTGCCTGTGTGTGGATGCATGTCAAACGTGGGAAGCTCTCAGCTGAAAATGCTGCGTGTGCTTCTTTGCCGAACATACGGAAGCCCATTGAAATGAATGGGCTGACGCACAGCAAAAAAGACTCGCGAGCGCATGCTCACGTATTGTCAAGTGTGAACTGGGCCTTACATTACCTCGGTATGGACCTAGGCAAGTGGGATGAGTCTGCAGGAACCAGAGCATTGCACTCACAATCCACTGATCGCGGTTGCAATGTTTTACTGGCTCCAATTCAAATAAACACAAAATGCAAATTGTTTTTCTTTTATGAAGACGTCTGCAGGAATTGTTGTTTTTTAAAGTTGGAAGTTTCCTTTACGCTACTCGTACACTATACAATCTGATTGTACATTCTCCTTTTAGATCTACCATCCACAATGCAGTGCAAGGGCCTGCCTATTATGAGACAGATTAAATGGATTATTTGTCCGTCCCCCCCCCCTTTTATTACATCGTTTTGGTGAATCTAACGCTGACCATACACCATACAGTCTGATTGTATGGTCAGTTTACATAGCTGTACAGAGAGGCTAGATTTACATCCTCTGTCAAGTTTTTATTACTGGGGATATTCATCCCTCTGTTCTCTGGTGATCAATGTGACCGAGGAAAAAAAGTGATGAGGGGAGATCTTTTGATGGGGGCAGGTGCTATGTGGACATCTAAGAATGGAATTTGCTTCCCTTTGTCAGATTTTCTCTAACTCCTTTTGTGTCTCCAGGACAGAAAGTGGAGGGAAACGTTTCTAATGATACACAAAATAATGTGACTCGGATTTTAACCCTTCCCTACTCTAACCAAAATGTAATAAACGCATACAGTGGTGGAATTTTGGCAGCAGTGTGTGGCCCAGTTAGCACACCGTGGGGTTGAACAGTTTGTTTATCCAGTCGGATCTGGGCATTCAGCAGCCTGACAGTGGGGGGATCCCTCCATCCATGCTGTTTGGCGTGGATTGAACAATCTGATAGGGCTTCTTCACACTGAAAGTGTGTGCGTTCCAGAGCGGTAGCTGCTGGAACGCACTGCGCTCGCTAAGAAACTTCTCCCTGCGTTTTGAGGCGATAAGCCACGATTGATCAATCCATTGATTGTTCAATCAATGCACGCCCCAGAACGCCGGGAGAAGTTTCTTAGCGATCGCGGTGCGTTCCAGCAGCTACCGCTATAGAACGCACACACTTTCGTTGTGAACAAGGCCTGAGTATCGGTGTATGAGCAGCCTAGGACATTTGTCACCAGAGCAATTGAAAAAATCAAGACAGCAGCAAATACCTGAGGGGTTTTAACCCCTTACCACTCCAACACTAAAAAGAAAAGTTTGGGTTTTAGATCTCTTATGTTGAAAAGTTTTAAAGTAAGTTACAAAGTATGAAAGACAGATGACTTTTGCTTGTGTGGCAAACATGAACAGTAGGCATCTAATTTATTTAGTGATCCTGCGGAGTGCTTGTCAGCTGTTTATTGAGGACAGAAATGGTGAGACATTTAATTTAGGCCAATTGTTGTGCTCATACTTCCCATTGTTTGATGACAGCTTCTATTACATAGTACTAGAATGGGAAATTGCTATGAGCAGCTGGTTCAGTTCTTCGTTCTATAGATGAGGGTCATTACACTGTATTGAATACGCCTCTAATTCAGCCTCCAGTGACTGTACGTCAGTTGATTACATTACATTTGAAATGGTTACATTACATATACAGATTTTTTTTTTTTCCATGTTCTATGTATGATCAAAAGTGTGTTTTTTATTTTTGTATGGGAATATGAAAGCCCTTCAATGAATGGAATTGCCTTAGGAAAGCTGAGGACATGAGCTATGGCTTGCACACTACAAAGGCAACAGTGTTCTTACACAAAGGCAGTATTATATGTATGTTGTCCCTTCACAGCTCGTGTACTGGTAAAGGATGGCGAAATCATCTTGTAACACATTTCCGGTGCCCACTTAGGCTGCTGCCATGCATTCTCATATTGTATGCAGTTTAGAATTTTATCTGTTTTACACTATGGATTTCCTTTTTTTTTTTTTTTTTTGTATGTAATAAAAGTGATTTCAACATTTTCTAATAAAGCGGAAAAATATAATCCTGTATTAGCAAGACAGGCCAAAATTTCCAGGCATGTGAATTCTTCTGTTGTCCAAATATTGGATGTAATGTTTGATATTCTAGTAGATCCCTGTAGAAGTCTATGAGGCTTGTCTCCTGCCCGGTAGAGAGAGAGGTAGATGAGCCCCATAGAAGTCTATTAAGGTAGTATACATCTGTGGAGGGGGCAGGTAGGATCGGTTAGGTCAGGGGAAAAGAACAAGTGTAATTGAATCTTATACTTCAGAGTTCTAATGTGTCGCTACCAGCTACTAATTTTCTTGGACAGTAAATATATCTGCATTTGAAAGTGAAAAAGGAAACTATAGGGAGTACTGTCATTCTGTGTATTAACCACATTGCACTAGTAAAGCTACATTCACACTTCTATGGATAAGCGACAGGCCTTCTTGTGATGATTGGTGCTGCTTCCAGCAATATGCAGGTCCCATATGGAATAATTCAAATACATGTAATACTTACTGCCGTAACATGGCACAACATGAAAACCACTGATGGTGTGGACTATGTGTAACATACTCTTCTTCTTCTATGTAGTCCGTTTACCACATTACTATCACGTAGGACTACTGAGTAATCCTTGTCTGAGTCTTTTTTTTACTGACATGTAGCCCACCAGCCATTGTATACAGTCAGTGTATCTCTGCAATGTGTTCACATTTCACTACCATAGCATACATTCTGATCTCTCCAGAAATCCAGGAAGCTTTCTGTAATAAGCTGACAAGGTTGCCTCTACTGAAGAGTCATCAGCTCAGTGGATTTATGATGGCACCACCGGTGTATTTCTTTACTTGCACAGTTTTTAAAGAGACCAAACATGAGGAAGTAATTGTGATTTTTTTTTTTTTTTTTCTTGCCCAGACATTCATTTTAGGCATATTTATTTTTGTGCTGTGGCTTCAGGCTTATTCCCAGGACTCCTTTCTGTCCCTGTTCCTATGCCTATGCTGTCTATTTAGTAAACAGAAGCTGTGTACATTCTGCTGGTAAATAGAACTCTTATTTCTCTGGATTAGGTGTTACTTGCAGGGCAGGAACCATGAAACAAGCTAATGTGTTGACTTATCCCAAGCTCTGCTGTACTCAATACAGTCTTATGGATGCTTTCTTCTTCCTTTTTGTTTTTTTTGTGTACAGTTTACACAGTACATGTCTTCAGATTTAAACCCTACACACCTAGATGTAAATTACTGAATACAATATGCGTTTAGCAGTAGTAAAGAGATTCTCTAACAACCTTTTGAGCTAACAGTGTTGCTAGGGAGGTAAATCTTTTCCACTAATAGGAACATCAGCTTAAGCACCGCACTTTTACAAAATCGTCTTTATAAACTGGGAGTAGTTATGAAGTTATAGAAAACTGGTTACTTTGCATTCTTTGATGTCCTGCCCATGGGGGCAGAATGAGGGAGCAGTGCTATGTATACTTGGTGAATTATTTACAGTAACCTGAAGTCTGGTTATTGTTACATGTACAGGGCTGAACAAATAGCAGAATCCTTATAGCTGATTTGACATGCTGTAAATTGTCTGCATGCAATGATGCACACTTCTAAAGATAGGTTTTGCTATCTTTTTGGAGTCAACACCTAATGTGGACTTCTTTTGGCAGTGTTAGGATTTGATCACATTACCTGCTAAATTCTCAGACCAATTTTGACCAAAGATTGGAGCTTATGCCCTTTTTTTTTTTTTCTATCAATTTTTCAGTGCATGAACCTACTAGAGTATTTTTTGCTGTTTGCTGCTGATGCCATTTTTGCAGTGTAAATGTTTGATCTTGGAGATTTTAGAATCTGTGACTACAGACATTAGCCATTAATAAGTACCTCTTAACCATCAGAAGTACTTCTTGAGGAATGTAACCCTTATCTTAAAAATGACAAAAAAGGTACTTTAGAAATGTTTAGTAATGGGAATCTACACGCATACTTGTAGATAATTGCCAGCTTTTTATTCTTTCCATATATTTTTCTTCTTCTCACAGTGGCCATTTTCACTAAGAACAGATTAAAGGAGAACTATGGGGTTAAGGCTGTTCTCAGGGTAACGGGAGGACACAAACTAGCGTCCTCCCGTCACCCTGCTGCTCGCGGT